GTGGATTAGAGGAACGAGTTGTTCCTTGAACCACTATAAAAATCCCTGGTGTCATTTACTTACTGTTTTAATATTTGCACTTAGATAGAACTGTCTAACTCCTCAGACTTGGTATCTGTGTTCAGCAAAACTTGTCTTACGAGTTAAAAGAAGGCCTACTGCCTTTGCTTCTCTGAGGCTAATTCAACAGAACCCCCTACCAGAACCCCATCCGCTGCCAGTCTGTTCTGTCAACAGAACAGGCTATTCTGTAAAATCTGGTACTTAGTTTAAAAAGCTAAAAACCAATACAGTCTATTCACCCCCCCTCTAGACTGTATCCAGTACAACCGGGACCAACAAGTGGTATCAGAGCCTCCTTGTTCTAATAATCTCTTAGGTTATTTTACTGAACAAAGATCCCCTTGTTTTTCTGTTGTTTTCCTCATTTCTATCTGATATAATGGATCACTCTCTTGCCAAGAATCTTATGTTCTCAGATCTTAAGTTTGATGACTGGAGGATACGGATGAAAGCACATCTCTGTGCTCTGCACGATGAGATGTGGGAAGTTCTTGACATTGGACCCTTCACAAGCTTCCAGAAGGTCAATCCTGAGCATGCTATTGACAACACCAGACCCCAGATGATCAGTAAAGCCAAGTCAGAATGGACCACTGAGGAGAGAAGAAAATACAACCTGGACAATATTGCTAAGGACATCATCTACAAATCCATTGATGACAGATACTTCAACAGAATAAAGAAATGCAGAACCGCAAAGGAAATCTGGGATACTCTCGAGCTCATTGGGGCCGGTGATGAGCAAGAGAAAGATAACAAGCTGACCATAGCCAACAAAAAGTTTGATGATTTCAAGCTGCTCCCTGGAGAAACCATCTCCAAGATGTATGATAGGCTCCTCACCCTTACTGGAGAAATCTCAGAGCTTGGCAAAGAACTCACCACCAAGGAGATCAACCTCAAAGTATTGAGAGGTCTTCCTTCTGCATGGAAGATGAAGGTGGTTGCTGTCCAAGCCAGCAAAGATGTGAAGACCTATCCAACAGACAAACTCATCTCTGATCTCAAAGCTCATGAGTTCGAGATGATTGAAGAGAAGGAAGATGTACCAGAAGAGAGAACCACTTGTAACACCCAGACCCCACCGGACCCGAGGTAGTTACTCCAGACCTCTAGTACTGTCCCCACAAACCACCACGAGCCTTTACCGTGCACTTTGTCCTCACTCATGCGCGCCCTGAGAAACTTCCCAGGGGGTCACCCATCCCAAGACTACTCCCGTGCAAGCACGCTTAACTTTGGAGTTCTTGGGTGATGAGCTCCCTTAAAAGGAGATGCACCTCTGTTGGTATGAGTAGTACTATTAATCCTCTTATATTAATCTCGGGTATTACAATCACTCCCACTTAGGATCGCAACGTCCTCGTTGCGCCCTTAAAAATCTCAATCAAACCCCAGAATCTTGCCCCGCTAAATGCCCGCCCGATATCTAACGGGTCAGTACACTGTCGCAGGGTTGCTCTGATACCACCTGTAACACCCCGACCCCACCGGACCCGAGGTAGTTACTCCAGACCTCTAGTACTGTCCCCACAAACCACCACGAGCCTTTACCGCGCACTTTGTCCTCACTCATGCGCGCACTGAGGAGTTCTTGGGTGATGAGCTCCCTTAAAAGGAGATGCACCTCTGTTGGTATGAGTAGTACTATTAATCCTCTTATATTAATCTCGGGTATTACACCACTACAGCTCTTACAGCCAGTACATCTAAGGTAAATGATTTTGACCCTTCAATACTTTTATCTGACGAATATATGGCTGTCTTTGCGAGGAGATTCAAAAAGTTTATGAAGAATCCTAAAGATGGAAGAAGCCCATCTTCCAGCAGAAAACCATACCAGAAGGTCAAACCAACAGAGAGCAGTGGAGAGCTTCTCTGTTACAATTGCAGACAACCTGATCACTTCAAGGCTGATTGTCCCCATCCAAGGGTGTCCAACAAACAAGGACAGGATGGAGAACAGAAGAAGTTCGAAGACAATCCCAGAAGAAGAAAAGCGCTCGTCACAGAACACGTCAAGAAAGACCCTCTGTCAGAGACAGAATCCAGTTCTGACTCCGATTCTGATGAGGCATTCTGTTGCCTAGATACAGAAACAGAAGACCTATGCCTCATGGCTCAATCTGATGATGAGGTAACCTCTACTTCTGAATCTAGTTTTTCTTCGGTAGGCTTAGCTTTTGATTCTGATTCAATGTCAGAATTTTGGGAAGAGTTTAAGGTTATACAAGCCACTTATTCCTCTGTAACAGAAGAAAACAGTAAGTTAAAAGCTGAGATTCTTGACTTAAAGAAGGAAGTTGAGATCAAAATCAATCTTCTAATTAAGGAAAGAGATCAACTGGAGACTGAAAATGTTTCTCTTCTCAAGAGAATAAGTGAAATAGAGCCTCTCGAGATTAAGTACAAAGCTTACCAGAAGGTCCAGTCTTCCATGGAAAAGATTGTACTTGATCAACAGATTGGCACTGGTTTTGGTCTTGGTTATGGCCCAACAGAATCAGGTGAGCCTTCTGTAATGCCTAGCACCAGCATTGCTAAGGCAGATAAGGTCATAGTGCCACTGATTTCTAGCCCCATTTGTCATGCTGGTGTATCTGGCACCAAGGTTATTCATGAGAAAGTCAGACCAGAAAAGGAAAAGATAAAGGTTCAACAGAAACCCATTTTAAAAATTAATGAACCTGGCAGAAAACCTAACAACAGAAAAGGATTTCAGAACACCAAAAATCAAAGACAAACCCATAACAGACAAACTCATGATAACCGTGTCAGAGATGATCACCGGAAAGGCAGATATCAAGAGAAAGTTAACTTTAGACAGAAAAGGTTGGCTGGTCAACTTAAGAAGCCCAAAGTTAATCGCCCCTCTGCTCTTGATAGTATATGGGACTTCTTCCCTACCAAGAAGGCTATGCAGAAGTATGTAAACCGGAAGCATGATCCTCACAAGCATCTGCCCAAAGTGAATCACACTTCAGTTTACTATGACTACCAGGTGGATAATGGGTACCACCCACCAAGGTTTCACTTGATGAGACCAAAATGGTACCAACTACCCAGACTCCATGACCCCCCAGGACCCAGCATTGCTTGGGTACCTAAATCTTACTTTTGATCCTACAGGAACTGTGTGCTGGAGCTATCTCAGAGCAAGAATGGTTCATTGATAGTGGATGCTCCAGGCACATGACAGGTGACAGATGTTTCCTAACAGAGTTCCAGAAATGCAAAGGACGTAGAGTTACCTTTGGAGGTAATGAAAAAGAAGGTCAAACAAAAGGAAGATGAAAGCTGATCAAGAACCAGATAGTCATTGATGATGTCTCATATGTCAAAGGACTGAAGTTCAACTTGCTGAGTGCTAGCCAATTCTGTGACAAAGGCTACACTGTTGAATTCACAAAGGACTTCTGCTATGTGAAACATGAGACAACAAAGGAAGTGGTACTGACTGCATCAAGAAAGAAGAACATCTATGTAGTTGATTGGAAGACTGCCAAAGATGGTGTGTGCTTGATAGCAAAAGGAGATTCAAAGCTAAGTTGGGACTGGCACAAAAAGCTCAACCATCTGAATTTCAAGACAATCAACAAACTGGCCAGAGAACACATTGTAGAAGGGCTACCAGACATAGTGTACAAGAAGGAGACCCTCTGCAGTGCATGTCAGAAGGGCAAACAAGTGAAGAATTCCTTCAAACCTATTGCTGGAGATCTTTCTACTAGTCCTTTAAATCTGATCCACATGGATTTATTTGGACCAGTTGAAACTCCGAGTGTAAGTGGCAAAAGATATACACTTGTCATGGTGGATGACTATTCCAGATATACATGGACTATCTTCCTAACAAAGAAGAATGAAACTCTTCAGAAGTTGCCCTCTCTGTTAAAGCAACTTCAGACTGAGAAGAATTTGAAAGTGAAGACAATCAGGTCTGACAGAGGAACTGAATTTATCAACCAAGTCATAAAAGACTTCTGTGATCAGAATGGGACTTTTCATCAACTCTCTGCCGCCAGAACCCCTCAACAGAATGGCGTAGCAGAAAGAAGGAACAGAACCTTGAAAGAAGCTGCAAGAACAATGATCGCAGAATCTGGACTACCAATGAGATACTGGGCTGAAGCAATCAACACTGCATGCTATACTCAGAACAGAAGCATGATCAACAAAAATCACAAGAAGACCCCTTATGAACTCTGGAAAGGAAGAAAACCCAACATCAGCTACTTTCATATCTTTGGATGCAAGTGCTACATACTTAACAATGGAAAGGAGCATCTGAAAGTCTTTCAAGGAAAGGCTGATGAAGGAGTCTTTATAGGCTATTCAAACACCAGTAAAGCCTATAGAGTACTCAACGGGATCGCCTTCAACAAACACTATGACTTGGCACAGCTCTTCTACTCAGAGCTAATGGACCTGGTCAAGGCCAAAGAAAAGAATAGGCCAGGTACCATTCCGTACGCTAGGTGGCTTGGACTAATCATCAACGACTGCATGGCAGAGCACGCCTCCATACCTAGACGCAGCTCCGATCCACATTTCAAAGCCCCAAAGCTGCAATACTTCAAAGCTGACAAGAACCCGACCTACGGTCTGAGGATTCCTGGGTTTCTGCTCAACCTTGTGAGGTGTTCAAACCCAGCTGTTCAGCAGTACAAGGAAGCCATCGAGAAGACCGTCCCTATGGTTCAGCAAAACCCAGCTGGACCTACCCAAGGGACAAAGCCGAGTGTGAGTAAGGGTCCTAAGAGAGCCCAAAAGCCACAAAAACCAGTGGCCGGTTCGCCCAATGAAGGGAAGTCTGACGACTCTCTAGAGACGAGTCAGGCGGCTGAGGGCACCGAAAAAGACGCTGAGGATACGGCCAATGAATCGTCGAGTGAAGCCCAAACGAACACTGACGACGAGGCTTCCGAGAGCGTGGGCACGGAGAGCGGAGATTCTGACTCGGATGATGACGACGACGACAATGACAGTGATGATGTGGAGCTAACATATGCTCTAATCAGAAAAGGGAAACTGCCAGTTGAATCTCCTAAGAAGAAAAGAATAACTGCTGAAGATGCAGCACCAATAATCGCTGGCAGACCCAAAGTCTTCACCATCAAGGAGAAAGCTAAGCCGATAGTTGTTTCCAGCGAGACAAACTGCTCAAAGGACGACTATGACGAGGCGGCTCATACAATTATAGCGTCAATCAACTCGAAAGAAGTCGTCATCTGAGAGACCAGGGCAAAGGTCAAGAATGACAAGGCTGCCAAGGCCAAGCCCCAGTCCCAAGCCAGAAAGAGCCTAAGTGACAAGGCAGACGAGCATATCTTTGTTGGCTGCGATACTTTTATCCAGATAAGCCGAGCTGAATCCTTAAGCACAGGAGCCGATCTTTTCGGTTCCCGAGTAGAAGTCGCAGCATCTGGCTCAACTGCGAATGCACAGCCCTCTCCCATCCACTCAATTGCCTCTGAAAAGGCTATTGTTTCAAAAGAACGGGACTCAACCCCCTCGCTGGTTCCTTCTGAATCAGTTGAGCATACAATTGACCTATCTCCCGAGGTCAAAACCCCTTCTTCTCTCACATCGAGTCTAGGTGTCACATTTCCCACATTTTCTTCATTTTCTAGGACATCTACACTATTCACTGCACATACAGGTGCACTCACCCTGAACGCAACAACCAGAGCGCAAGCTATGACGGTTGGAAGCCCTGCTACGCCCATAATGATTCCATCATTAAATGCAGGCCACACATCAGCAATCTTCACTGATGCTGTGTCAACAGTTACAACCCCCGTAACTGGTCACCCTACATTTGAAGACGTAAACGTTCTACTAAATCGCTTCCTGGATTCCACCATTAAACCATGGGTGCAAGATGCAATGACCGCTCTAGCACAGGTATTTAGGACCACCCAAGCGGTTCGGTCTGAACAGACACCACCCCAACCTTCCCCTGAACCGTTCATCTCCCATACACAACCCATATCCTCCACCCCTCTATCCCACCAATCCATAAACCAAATTCCTATCCCTTCTATTTCTCGGGGAACCCAGGATACAGAACCAGTATTCTTCCCACACCCGACCACACCCTCCATCGACCTCTCCTCCCTATCCTTTGACACACTAGCTTCGGCTTTGCTGAACAATCTCTTAAATACCCCAGAAGACAACCTCACTTTTCATCAGCAAGCCATACTAGAAGCTCTTCTTTCCTCACCCGAAACCAAGAGTACTTGCAAGGAGAGTCTTCGTGGTCGCAAACGTTCCCATGAGGACCCCGATGATTCGGATCCTCATGAGGGGGAGAACAAGCGACCTCGATCACTTGAGCAAACTGCTCTACCAAGCCAAACTCCACAGCCAATTCAACCTGAAACCTCAACAAACCAACAGCCACCATCCACAGCCAAACTATCTAGCATGGTCGAGCTAGAAATAACATCCCGAGGCGTATCTCCCAGAGATACCAACCGAGGAGGGGATGGAAGTCCTGATGATGTTACCACTGGTACATCTTCTCCATCAGGCCATCAGTTGGAACCCAGTTCTAAGTTGATGTCAACGGGCAATCCTAGTGAACCCGGTAGTGCTACACAGGAACAATCACCGCCTGAACAAAGAATTCCATATATTTCTCCAGGCAAAGACATCCATGATGCACTTGAAGAGGCGGTGATATACGACAAATGGCCAAGAAAATGGACAGAATGGGATGATCTTCGGGTTGAAGCCGAGCAAGAGGACATGCAAAGAAACTGGTGGCTACGAGAGCTGATCAACAAATGCTCTGAAGATATTATACGGCTCGAGGACGATGAACGCAAGGAAGGGGAGAATTACAAGGAATCCCAGAAGACTCATGAATCAGTCGTAAGACAAACAGCGGGAAGACTTCCCAAGACAGAGAAACCCTGGGATAATGTTCGTATCAAAGCCCCCTTCCAAGAAGAAATCAGAGAGCATATCTGGCGTAGACCAGACAAAGTCAAGCCACTGAACGAACTGAAGCTAAGAGGCCTTACTCACTTGAAAGGAAAGCAGGTTGGAGGTCATCTGCATATGTTGCTGCAAAGGTCAACCGGTACACAGAGAGAACTAATGGAACAAGATCTGAAGTCGAATATTCTCCCGATTCATCAATTTCTACAAGTGAAGGCTGAAGACTATCATGGAGTAACATTCTACACTTACAGACTTCAACGCACCGATGGGAGCGAATTCACTTGTCAAGAGAACGACTTCATCATGCTGAAACCGGATGACATCTACCAAATGCTCATGGCCTACAGATACCTTCCAGTCAGGCAGAGCATAGTATACAGCGAAGGCCTCGCAGCTATCAAGAGATTCATGCTTAGACAGATCCGAGTACACTCTTCACATGACCTACAGATGGCTATTGAATGCAATCTGAAGAAGACAAATCTGACAAAGCCAAGACTGTATGGTCCAGAACTTGAAGATTTCCCAGCCTACCACATCTTCTTCACACCGCCAGCAGTCACCTATCTGAACCACAAGAACGAAAAGCGTCTGATGGTAGTCAGTGAAATCGAGAAGTACTGTGACGGAACACTGAAGATAATCAGAGAGCAGATTCTACAGATGAAGGCAAAGCTAGAGGAAAATCTTCAAGAGGCATCGTCTTATGTTCAAAAGGAACACTCTACTGTAGAGACAATTTTAAAGGCCATTGATGATCGCCTCGAAAAGAGAAATGTGCTAAGGCAGTATGAACATGCACTTGGTTTGAGGAAGCACTACTTCAAATCTCAGAAGCAATAAGAGAATGGCACTTGATCACAAAGGGGGAGATATTTGGAGATATTTAATTGTGAATCAAGTTGGTCATAGATTAGCTTTATATTTAATCCTTGTATTTAAATAGTGCATAAATTAGATAGAAATCAGGCCAAGTGTTAGGCCCATTTAGACAGGCTAAAAGCCTGGTACGCCTAACCTAAACCTCGCCTATAAAAGGGAGCCGAGGTTTAGGAAAAGGCTGAACGTCGTACTTATTATTCATAGCCTTATGCTTATCATTCTGTTGTACGTTCCACGGTTTATCAAAGAAGGTTTTACCGTGATTCATTCTGTGTTCATCTTTACGTTTAATCTTCCTTGTTAGATCGATTATTCATTGCTGTTACAGAAACAGGGACTAACAAACATCTACACCGGGATGAACTGCGACCTCTCCGCACTCCCAGAACTGGCCGCCAATCATGAAACTATGGAGAAAATAATCCAGGGAATGAAGGATTCCCAACTGGATAAAGTGGTGGGATTCCACTTCAACTCCTTCAGCACAAGGGATGTAGCAGAGTTCTATCTCAACGCTACATATGAAGGCAAGACCATTAGGTCTAAGGTCAACGGGGATGACATCGTCCTCACCCCAGGCATCATCAACGCCCTCTTTGGCGTAGTGGAGAACCCACAAGAAGAGGACACTGAAGGGTTCATTGCCCTAGACAGTGTCAAGGTCACAGTGGATGAGTTCATCCGACTCTACTGCAGACCAGAAGTTGCTGAGATTCCCAAGCTGAACATGAAGAAGAATCTTCTCCAGAGTGACTATGAGAAGTTAGTCAACATTTTCCACAGGTGTGTCTGGAGCAAGAGCACCTCTACAGATGATATGACTCTTCTGAATGCAAAGGCTGTCTTTGCAGTTCATCATTGGATGAACCTCAACTGGGGTCAGGTAATTGCTAAATCCCTAATTGACTTCATCAAAAAGAAGGATAGGGAGACTGGACTATTCAGAACCCCCATGGGCTATGGACTTCTGTTGCTAAATCCAATTGATGCTGACTACACCAAGCTGCTCTTCTTCAACACCTCCAGTGACAGGAAGGTTGCTCTCAAAGCAGAGCAGAAAAGGCTGAGAACTCTTGAGTTCAACAGAGAAAAGCTACAACAGAAGGTTGTTCAGCCAAAGAAAATTACCAAAAAGCAACAGAAGCCCTCTACTCCTTCGGATTCTGAATAGGAAATGCCTTTGATCAAGAAGGTGGTCAAGAAGGTCCTTAAGAAGAAGACCACTCCTGTCAAAGTCCACAAGCTAGTGGCTAAGAAGGCTGTGATCAAGAGAAAGCAGCCTTCCCCCTCTCCAACAGAGTCTACTCCTTCTGCTTCACCAGTTGCGAAGAAGATCAGGGTGATGACCCCTATCATTCGGGAGGAACTTGAAGACTCCTTTCACTCTGCACAACCCAACAGAAATGCTTGGCAGGGCAAGCGGATTGTGTTTGAGGCAAGTGACTCAGAAGAGGAAGTAGTGGTGCAAGATGCCACTACTCAGGGGGAACCACACCTCTCTCCTCCTGCTTCTACAAATGATCAACCACTGGTGGTTTCTTCACCACAACACCAAGATGCTAGCAGAACCCCAAACACTGCAGATAGGCAATTCATCAGGGTTCTTGCATGGAGAAAGTGGAGAGTGGTACCTCTCACTGAGCTGCTTACAAACTTGTCCCACTTCATCTCTGAGGAAGAAGAAGTACTCCGATGGGCTGACACAGAAGATGTGGAACAATGCCTGGACAAAAACTTCCTCTTCTCAGTCCTACAGAAAAAGAAGGAGAAACACCAAGGAAAAGCTCCTATGTTCAAAGAATCACCAGAAGACCATGTGAAGGCTCTTCAAGAGCATGAGATGGATGATTTTGATGCTTGGCTGGTTGAAAAGAAAAGGAAGGAATCCATGATCAAGTTTCGACATAGTGCAAATGGAGAAGGGGAACCCTCCACTGCAAATGACCTACCCTTGGTCATGGAGAAGCTTGTCAAAGAATGGAGGGAATCTCTGTTCACAGACACCGTCCTAGAGGTAATCCCAACAATCATTCCTTCTCCCCCTCCCTCTCCTAAAATCACTTCACCTCAACCACAACAGAAATCCCCCTCACCCTCACAAACAACCATCTCCAAACAGAACACTCCTCCTATTTCCCAACAGAAAACCCCCTCATCCAAAACTCAAAATCCTTCTCCCTGCAAACCCCAACCCTCAAACAGATCCAGAACACCATCACCTCCACATTCTCCTCCACAACAACAGAATACTCCCTCACACCAATCTTCACACCAACAGGAAAACCCCTCTGCCAAGAAATCCAGAACTCCAACCCCCTCTTCTCCACAGCCAGCACCACAAGATGCAGCCATTCCTCTCTCCCCTCAACACTCTGTGGCTTCTTCTCCCAACAAGAAACCTATCTTCAAGGTTCACTCATCTACTAGTGATAATGATGGGTTCCTCACGTCCTCCATTGATGCTGACCTAACTTCCAAAGGAGGAAGACCCCTCCCCTGAATGAAGAACAACCCAGAAGGCCTCCTATGCCTAGGTCAAGAGGACTAGGTATGCCAGGATATGCAGAATCAAAAGAAGCTAAGCCCCAAATCTCCTTCAATCAGTTTGTCACTGCAGCTGAGGACTTTGGTGGTAAAGTGCTTGATGGCATGGATCAACTGGTTGAGATCAACACTAAGCACCATGAACATCTCACCTTTGTACATAATCATCTTGAGGCTGGACTTCAGCACATCTCAGAGAAAGTTGAAGCTCTGACTCAGACACTGGTCACCTTCATGGAATCATCCTCTGCAAAGATTAATGCTGTTGCCAGAAAAGTTGATAGTGTCAGCTCTTTTCTCTACTCCCAATCTCAGACTCTCAATAAGCAGGATGAACAACTCAAGGAGATAACAGAATCCCTTGACGTTGTACAATGGTATGAAGACCAATCGACTGAGAAATTTATGAAACTACAACTCTTACACAATGATCACAAAGATCAAGTAGCCAACCTGATCAAGAAGGATCAAGAGAGATATCAGAAGCTGATACTCCTCGAAGCTAGCTCTCAGGACATCAAGTCTGCCCTTGATCGTCAACAGAACCTGATAGAAGGTCTGACCTCTGTCACTCAAACCTTACCAGAGGCTCTTGAGCAGATTGCCTTCTCCCAGGCAACAGAGTTTCAGAAGATTACTATGATGATCTCTGACCTGGATGATGCCAAAAAGGGGGAAAAGGACCCCCAACAGAAGAAATTGCCTCCTAGGCCAACTACTGGACCCTCTTCTGGCATTGATCCTACCCCTTACTTCCAGGCCTCCCAACAAAAGAAGAGAGAAGCTGGTACTTCAAGACCTTCTTCTCCTCGCAGAGGTTCTACCAAAAAGAAGAAACCCTTGAGCTTAACTGAGTGGAGACTTGGAGGATCTCAAAAGATTGACAGAGCGCAGTTTGAAGAAATACAACAGAAAATGACCTCTACTCAAAGACAGAATCTTTATCTTGACAGAGATGGTCATATAAGGGTCAGACATGGTGGTTCCTTGGAAGAAGCTGAATATTGGTTTCACAAGAGAGTACTCCCAGGCAAGGATATACATGAGGGAGTACTTCACTATTTAAATTGCAAGCTCTCTCCCATTTGGGCCTCTTGTCAAGCACCGGGAAATTTAGCTGGCATAAGAGAAGAAGTGAATGCTGAACTTAAGAGCCTGAAAGAACAAGATCGAAGAACCAGAGCTGAAGTTGAAAGGGAGAATCTGTAATTCCTTTTAAACTTCTCTTAAACTCTTGATCTAATAAAAGCATATCTCTGCTCCTTCTAAGGTCTCTTTTCTTCTACTCTTTGTTGCTTACTGTACTTTATTTTATTCTAGTACTTGTTTCTTTTTGAACTGCTATCTGAATGTACCGTACTCTTACTATCTTCCTATGCTAAGTTGCCCACCAAGATTTTAATGAAAAGTTTCTTACTTTAAATCTCTTATGGTGAAGGCACTTCTCTGGAAATAGTTAAAGGGTTTTGGCATCATCAAAAAGGGGGAAATTGTAAGGAATAAATGTAATTAGATTTTGATGATGCTATAGGATTGTGTTTTTACTCCTTAGAAAATTTGTATTAGAATTTTCCTTGTAATTGTTCTAGTATAGTCGACTGACAGAAGACCTCCAGACAGAAGCCCTTTTGGCCCTCTGATGATAGTGCCTTCACAGAAGTCCTCCTGACTTCTGTTGGACTTCACCAAGGCAGAAGCACTTAGGTCCTCTGTTGGCCTCTAACAGAACATAAGGACTGGAGACCCTCTGCTGACATCCATTACAACAGAAGTGTTCATGACCTTCTCTGGTGTACACTCTGATAAAGAGACCAGAAGGCCTGACACTTAGAGAAATTCAAGTTTACTTCCAAGCTGGCAAAATCAACGGAAGATTCTCTAACGGCTAGAAGACTTCAACGGAAAAGCTACAGTACGCGCATTAAATGCTCATTTAATGCGGATACGTACGAGAAGATATTTAAAGCAAATAATTGACCATCTTCTGGAAAGAATCTTCTCAAAATAGCAAGTCGCCGAATTCAGTGGGTCCAACCGGTCAAGTCAA